TTTAGTCCAGTTTTCGACCAACTTTTGAAGAAGAGGTCCTACTCATCTATAGGCTTTCAGGCTAAATTTTGGGTTTGCTTGGAAGTTAAAAAGTATTTTTGAAATTATAGAAACTATTTATTTATACTTCATAGTATTTATTTTATGTCAAAAAATAATAAATTTAGTCTTTATTGATGTTAAAGACGATCCAAAGATATATATATATATATATATATATATATATATATATATATATATATATATATATTAGATGAGAAGGGCAAAAAAAGCTTCTAACGTTCTAATGTTACGTTAGAAGCTACGTCACTTCCATCAAGGACTACTTCAGTTTTGTGTGTGTATATATATATTAGATGAGAAGGGCAAAAAAAGAAAATGCTCAGCAAAATGAAGAATTTGTAACTTACTAAAAAAAAAATAGTGATCAGTGAACAAAAGAGAGAGAATGGTATGATTGAAATTGAAAATTCAATTCTAAAACTAGATACAAGGGTACGATTGAAATTAAAAATTCAATTCTAAACATAAAATATTTTATATGACTTGAAAAATTAACAAAGACAACCATAAAACTAACCTATATCAATATGAAATTGATAGCCCTCAATAATCATCGTATTTTGAGTTAAACTTGAGTAAGTAATTATGATTAGTGTTATAACCCAAAATTTGGCTTATATATATTTTCCCTTAATTTTGTCCCTTTTATTTCTATTATTATTTTTTTTTTTATCTTCCTTTATTTATTATTTTAGTTATCCTTTATTTTTATTTTATGTTCATTTTTTCACTTCATTTTTATTTTTATGAATTTATATTTTATTTATTTATTTTATTTTAGTATTTATCAAAAAAATAAAAATGAGAAGAAGTAAAAGAAATAAAAAATGCAAAGAAATATAAAAAAGTATAAAAATACAAAAGTAAAGGATAAATTCAATCAGGGCATAATTGCATTAAATTAGCTTGAAAGTAGAAGCTAACAGGGGTTAAATTGAAAAAACAAATCAAAACAAATTAAGGGCATAATTGAAAGGAATCAAAGGAGGCGATTGAAAACCTTAGTAAGTTAGGGAACCGATTGGACAAATTGCATTTGAGACAGTGAACGAATGTTTGAAAACCAGGAATGGTTTCAATTCTTTTTGGGTTTCTAACTGTTTTGATTCCTTCAGCCAGCTCATCGATCCCTTTCTTTGGCTCGGTCCGCAAGTCATGCTGCCAAAAAAGAAAAAAAGAAAAAAAATTAGAGGATTAGAACACAAGGAAATAACATAATGGAGAGGAGAGATTCTGATCGACCTATTGTCAGTCAAGGGAGGAAATGGAAAATTGAGTTTGTTAGTAGAAAATTGTGTATAAATAGGAGTATTTTAAAGATTAGAAAAGGGGAGATCGAAGGTCAAATGAGAAAATCAATGCAAAGAGTGAAGAAAGGAAATCTAGGCATCAAAATTTTCTGGGTTTGGTTGAAGTTCTGGGTTTGTGTTCTTGAAATTCTGGGTTTCAGTTGAAGATTTTGGGTTTTCTGGGTTTCTATTCTTCGTTGTGGGTTTGTCTTGGTGTTCAGGATCTCAAGAGTACCAGAAATCATTCCCTTCCAACCTTTGTGTGTCTCTAATAATCATAACAACATACTCTCAATTGCACAATAATCATAAATTCCAGTTCCAGGAGCATTCCAAGTCATCCTCGGTGTCCCAAAATCAATCCAGCCTCTACAATCTCCTCTAACAATCTAGAAGCAAGGGAAAATCATAACATCTACTCTGCAATCAACTCACTTTCCTCAGCTTATTCCAACTAGATAACTTAAATACGTTCATTTTCCATTTCATTGATTTTACGTTGTTAAGATTTAATTTTAAACTTAAGAACAGGGGAATGACAATAGCAAAGCTCACTGCTATGGTGAGCCCTCGCTGCTCAACCTCTCCCCACAAAGTGATAATAATGGGATGATGAGGAGATTTAGAGGTTCGATTATGAGGAAAGAATTTCTAGGCAAGATGAAATGAGATAGAATAGAGTGCAGTTCGGGTAAGTAAGAACAGAGATAGAAAGAAAGAATGGAAAGAAAATAAGAGAAGGAAAAGAGGGCTGGGCTCAGCCTGGCCCGAAGCAAAAAAAAAAAAAAAAAGGAGAGTTATGGGACTCGACTGGGCTAAGCCCAGTCTGAAAGAAAAAGGACAAAAAAGGATTGGGTTGGGTCTAACCCACAGACCTGGCCCAATGGGTTGAAAGTCCAATAGACCCATTTTATTCTGATAAAAATTTAAATCGAGCATAAAATTGAAAGTTCAGTTATTTGAGTCAAAATTTGCTTCCCATTTTCTCTTCAAATTGGAGAGATTGACTTTTTTAGGTTAAAAGAGAAAATCTTTCCTTATACTCATTGAATAAATCAACAAAAATAATTATCTATATCCGTATCCCTTTTCCTTCTTGAACAAGTTTTTTTTTTTTTTTTTTTTGGAATCCTCTTGAGCAAGTTGTTCGAATTAAGATTTTAAAAGGGCACTTTTAAAACGAAGAATAAACGACATCACCTACTTTTGTTTCTCTTAGTTAATTGTGTTTCTTTGAAAAAAAAAAAAAAGACATTAAAACACCCAACCCATCCCGATCTATATATCTATGCAAATACAATTTTATTAACAAAACCATGCATGGTGACATACATTACCAATCAATTATCTATAGTTTAATATTATTTCATTGTTTGGGTCTAGCTAGAAGAAGTGAAAATTCAAACAAAATATCATTGTTTGGGTCCACATTCAAACTTGTAATTATAACCCAAGGAAAATAAATCCAAGTGTAATCCATTAAATTTGAACTTAGGCACAAAAATGGGAGAATTCGGTAATTGAAAACATGTATAAGTTGATGTCATTTTTATTTTCTTCAATGCATACATATTATATTCACATTGTCACAACCTTGAAATGGATCATGACTGGCACAAAAATAAAAAAAGTCATGAAATCCATATGGACTCAACCAAATTTCAAATATTTAAACTATAATTATCAAACCTATAGGGAATCAAATATTATTTTCAATTCGCGAGACAAAATGATAGTCAATGCATTATAATTTCATAACAAACTAAAATTCCATAATATTCATGCATTTCTCAAAAACAATATCCTTAATTAATATTTTAACACAACTCTTATCTAATTCACAATATCACAACTTAATTAGTCAATATTTCTTAATTTCATCTCAAACTACAGTTTTATTGTAATTATACATATCCAAACATAATAATTATAATCAATCTAATACAACTCCCACAAGTATAACTTTTGAGCTTTTAGAGTGTACTATAATATTAAAATAGAAGTTTCAAATATTATAAATAAACGAGCTGCATAATTAATGTGTTGGCTTTCAAACAAACATATTTATGGAAGTCAAAAGGCAATCCCACAAGACTCTTAATCATAATCGGTTGCGGATTTGTTGCATCCACGATCCGATTTCCTCCTAGCATAGAATCCTCCCGATTGAACCACAATCTACGTTGCAATAATCAAGGAAATTTTGTAACGAAAGAGAGAGATACGATGGAGGGAAATCTGAAAAATTGAAGAGGAAAATCAATGCGTTTTAGGTTATAAATAGGGTGTTCAAATAGCAAGAGAGGGGGAAAGGAATGCGGGGTTGAGATAGAGCGAAAATCAATAAAAAGGGGGAAAATCAAAGGATTTTTTGGGGAATAGTTGCTGCATTTTTCTAGGGAATTCGGGCATATGTTGTTCATTTCGGGGCAAGGGTTCTTCACTTGTAGGGTTCCTTAACCGGGTTTTCTTGCATTTTCCGGGTTTTGATTTGAATTTTATGTTTTTTTTCCAACTCGGTTTTTCACACTTGGTGGTTTTAATCGAAGTTTTTTGTTTTTCCTTTGAAATTTTTCTAGGTAGCTTGTTCTTCATGTTTTTGGTTTTTGGGTTCACCTTCTTCTTTTTCTGTTTTATTTGTTTCGGTTTAATGATGACTTTGGTTTGTTGGGTAAAGAGAAGGATAAATCGAGAGTAAAGGCTTGAAAAATCATGAGATTTCAACATTTGGGGTTCCCGGGTTTCGTAGTTTTTTTTTTTTGGGTTCGGTTCTTAGGGTTCTTCACGTTTCGGGTTTGGCTACAAGTTCCTTGACGGTTTATGAATTCTCAAATTTTCTAAGTTCCAATTTACGGGTTTTGATTTTGATTTCTTGGGTTTAGTCAAGTCATTTCAATTCGAGAACACCAAGAATCCATAAACATTTGTCAATCTACTTTTTGGGTTTTGGAATTCTCGAGAACACAAACAACCAATGTTCTTATCATTTCACCAAGACCAAACGATTCAACATGTTCCAAAACCATTCACCTGCTCACCATCATCTCTCGAAATCGGTTAAACCATACACAAATCCATAAACTCGTGATCGATCCTCTTCATCTTCAATCCCTTCACCAAGCGTCCGTCAACTCCCTATTAAAGGACTATCTCACCTAAAAGCTTAAGTTAATAGGTGAGACCCCGTAATATAATTTATAATAGTCTCTAACACACCCTCAAGTGAAAAGCCCAATATTTAGGCTTGAAACTTGCACAAGTCCACATTGCCTTGTACTTAATATTTGAGAAATTGAGGATGATGAGACTTGAACTCGGGACCTCTTGGTCAACCAAGCTTTGATACCATATAAAGTTAGATAGTTAAGATTGGGTTTCATCCAAAAGACTTAAGCCTTATGGTGGGTGGCCCCTTCTCAACTTTATATAGTATTTATTATTGCTTTAGCTATTCAATGTGAGATATGTTCTAACACTCCCTCTCACTTGCAGCCCATCTTTTGAGGTCCGTCGGATGGCTTGGGCTCCGGGATCTTTAAGGCTCGATACCATATTAAGGGATCATCTCACCTAAAAGCTTAAGCTACTAGGTGAGACCACTAGAATATAATTTATAATAGTCTCTAACACTCCCATCTCTCGCAAGGGATGTTAAACTATTGTGAGGATCTTACCAAGGGTAATAGGAATGGAGGAGAATCTATCTATGGCACGAAGTTTGTTGATCGAGCTTCAAGTCGAAGCATAAAAGGGCACTGGAGTTTTACAAATGTTGTAGGTGGCTATCGCATTGGTTTAGCAAGGAAGAAGGTGAAGGTATAAAATCATTTTTCTTGGTCTTTATTTAATTCGTGTCGGGCCAAAAGAAAGGTTCGGGGAGTTTTGGTTTTGGTAGAAAAAAAAGTTATGGGTAAATGGGAAAGTGTAGGAAAGGGTTGATAGAAAAAGAAAGAGGTACGAGTACAGGGGAGGATTTTGTTTTGAAGAAAGAAGGAATAAGGGCTAGACAAGTCTAGCCGATGAGGAAGGAGCTAGACAAGTCTAGCCGGTGAGGAAGGGCTAGACAAGTCCGATCCACATGGATTGGGTTTGGGCTAGTTGCGACTCGACCTAAGTCTTTCTAAAAAAAAGAAAAGAGAGGGCGAGGGCGAGCCGACCTAATGGGCTCGCGGCTCATCCAAAAAATATGCCCATTGTTTTTAATTAATTTATTTATTTGTTTTAGATAAATTTTTCTTAAATGTTTATTTCTTGTTTAATTTAGATTTTTATATTTTAGCTTTCTTGAAACTTATTTTCGTTAATTTCGGTTAGTTAAAATTTTAAAGTTTTATTTTCATAATTAGATTAGATAATCAAATGGTGAGTGAATGGTCAAGTTTCGTAATTTTTAGGGATTGAAGACAATTCTTCATTGACAAAAAAATATAAAACAATAAATGATAAACAAGAAAAGGCATACTTTAATTTTAAAATTTTCAATGATCGGGATAGATAATTAATACATAAAATAATTGTGGACTCTCCTAATTTTTAGGGATTGATGCTAATTTTTTATCAACAAAAAAAAATTCTTAAAAAAGTCTCCTATCCGATAGGGATTGTCGTTTTACCAAAAAATAAATAAAATAATTCTCAACGAAGTTTTCTATCCGATAGAAACCATTTTTTGAATTAAAAAAATAATAATAAAAATTCTCAATGAAGTCTCCTATCTAATAGGAACTGTTGTTTGATCAAAAAAATAAAAGAAATTCTCAATGAAGTCTCCTATCAAATAGAGACTCGTTGTTTGACCAAAAAATAAAAATTCATGACAAAATCTCCTATCCGATAGGGACTATCGTTACAAAGAATCAACACTTATAATCGGGATGTTCTCCGACACACTCGGTTGTGTCGAGGCTTAAAGTGCATATGATATTTAGTCGAATATTAACTATTAGCAAGAGAGGGGGAAAGGAATGCGGGGTTGAGATAGAGCGAAAATCAATAAAAAGGGAGAAAATCGAAGGATTTTTTTGGGAATAGTTGCTGCATTTTTCTAGGGAATTCGGGCATCTATTGTTCATTTCGTGGCAAGGGTTCTTCACTTGTAGGGTTCCTTAACTGGGTTTTTCTTGCATTTTCCGGGTTTTGATTTGAATTTTATGTTTTTTTTCCAGCTGGTTTTTCACGCTTGGTAGTTTTAATCTAAAGTTTTTTGTTTTTCCTCCGAAATTTTTCTAGGCGACTTGTTCTTCATGTTCTTGGTTTCGGGTTCACCTTCTTCTTTTTCTCGTTTTATTTGTTTTTGGTTTGATGGTGACTTTGGTTTGCTGGGTCAAGAGAAGGATAAATCGAGAGTAAAAGCTTGAAAAATCGTGAGATTTCAACATTTGGGGTTCCCGGGTTTTTGTATTTTTTTTGTTTTTTTTGGGTTCGGTTTTTAGGGTTCTTCACGTTTCGGATTTGGTTACAAGTTCCTTAGTAGTTTATGAATTCTCCAATTTTTTAGGTTCCAATTTCGGGCTTTGATTTTGATTTCTTGGGTTCGGTCAAGTCATTTCAATTCGAGAAACACCAAGAATCCATAAACATTTGTCAATTTGCTCTTTGGGTTTTGGAATTCTCAAGAACACAAACAACCAATGTTCTTATCATTTCGCCAAGACCAAAAAATTCAACGAGTCCCAAAACCATTCACCTCTTCACCCTCATCTCCCCAAATCGGTTAAACCATACATAAATCCACAAACCACCGACCGATCCTCTTCATCTTCAATCTCTTCACTAAGCATCCGTAACTCCCTATTAGAGGACCATCTCACCTAAAAGCTTAAGCCGATAAGTGAGGCTCCGGAATATAATTTATAATAGTCTCTAACACACTCCCTCAAGTGAAAGGCCCAACATTTGGGCTTGAAACTTACACGGATCCACATTGCCTTGTACTTAATACTTGAGAAATTAGGGATGGTGAGATTGAACTCAAGACCTCTTAGTTAACCAAGCTTTGATACTATATAAAGTTAGATAGTTGAGATTGGGTTCCATCTAAAAGACTTAAGCCTTATGGTGGGTGACCCCTTCTCAACTTTATATATTATTTATTATTGGTTTAACTATTCAATGTGAGATATGTTCTAACACTTTCCCTCATTTACGACCCATCTTTTGGGGTACGTTAAGTGACTTGGGCTCCAAGATCTTTGTTGGGCTATTGGGCCTCTTTAAGGCTTTGATACCATATTAAAGGACTATCTCACCTAAAAGCTTAAGTCGATAGGTGAGGCATCGAATATAATTTATAATAGTCTCTAACACTCCCATCTCTCACAAGGGATGTTAAAATGTGGTGGGGATCTTACCAAGGGTAATAGGATCGGAGGAGAATCTATCTATGGTACGAAGTATGCCGATCGAGCTTCAAGTTAAAGCTTAAAAGGGCCTAGAGTTTTACAAATGTTGTAGGTGGCTATCGCATTGGTTTAGCAAGGAAGAAGGTGAAGGTATAAAATCATTTTTATTGGTCTTTATTTAATTCGTGTCGAGCCAAAAGAAAGGTTCGGGGAGTTTTGGTTTTGCTATAAAAAAAAGTTATGGGAAAATGTAGGAAAGGGTTGATATAAAAAGAAAGGGGTACGAGTACAGGAGAGGATTTTGTTTTGAAGAAAGAAGGAATACGAAGCTAGACAAGTCTAGCCTGGTAAGGAAGGGCTAGACAAGTCCAGTCCACATGGATTGGGTTTTGGTCGGTTATAGCCCAACCTAAGTCTTTTTTAAAAAAAAAGAAAAAAAAAGAAAAGAGAGGGCGAGGTTGGCTCGTCCAGTGAGCTAGCCTAATGGGCCCGTGGCTCATCCAAAAAATATGCCCATTGTTTTTAATTAATTAATTTGTTTGTTTTAGATAAATTTGTCTTGAATGTTTATTTCTTGTTTAATTTAGATTTTTATATTTTAGCTTTCTTGAAACTCATTTTAGTTAATTTCGGTTAGTTAAAATTTTAAAGTTTTATTTCTATAATTAGATTAGATAATCGGATGGTGGGTGAATGGTCAAGTTTCATAATTTTTAGGATCGAAGACAATTCTTCATCGACAAAAAAAATATAAAACAATAAACGATAAACAAGAAAAGGCATACTTTAATTTTAAAATTTTCAATGATTAGGATAGATAATTAATAGATAAAATAATTGTGGAGACTCCTAATTTTTAGGGATTGATGATAATTTTTTATCAACAAAAAAAATAATAAAAAAATTATCAACAAAGTCTCTTATCTTATAGGGATTGTTGTTTGACCAAAAATAAATAAATAATTCTCAATGAAGTTTTCTATCCGATAGAAACTGTTTTTTGAATTAAAAAATAAATAAAAAAAATTCTCAATGGAGTCTCCTATCTAATAGGGATTGTCATTTGACCAAGAAAATAAAATAAATTCTCAATGAAGTCTCCTATCAAATAGAGATTGCTTGTTTGACCAAAAAATAAAATAAAAATAAAAATTTCGACGAAATCTCCTATCCGATAGGGACTCGTCATTACAAAGAATCAACACTTATAATTAGGATGTTTTCCGACACACTCGGTTGTGTCGAGACTTAAAGTGCAATCGATATTTAAATCGACATGTCGTTCGACGAAAGGGACCGACGATCGTTTCAATACGATGCCACACCTAAAACTAAAAAATTTAGAGTTTCGAATTGAAAAATTATTTGCCGCAAATAAAATATTTTAGGAGATAAATTTAGAATTAAACCTAAACATGGTACCTTTCTACGGAAAGGGCACTTTTGGGTGATTAAAAATCATTTCAAAAGTGTAATCAACTCCTTACTTTAGAATATCCGAACCAGTGCTAATTTTAGATTTTTAGTTCCTTCAATACTAGGTGATGAATCCAAGTTTGTAAATAATTTTGTAAAATAATAAGAAAACCTAGAATTTTTTTAAAGTCTCATCCGACATTAGGTAGCGACAATATATATATATATATATATATATATATATATATATATATATATATATATATATAAAAGATTAAAAGTATATTTCAAATAATTTGTATCGGTTAACTAAGTATAGTCAAGACGTATAAAAAAAATATTGAATCACTTTTTTTATTAAAAATTAACAATATATCTTCCTACATAATACAAATTATTAACCATGAAATTTTTTAAACATTATTGACCCAATTTATTTGAAATAAAATAATGAAAATAATTTTTTAAGGGAACCAACCAATTATTCAAATGTAGTTTTTTTATGTTACTTTTATTGATTATTTTGTAAATAAATATATATAGATTAAATGCATATACTTAAAATATATATATATATATCTTCTCACCAACATAAAATAAAAATAAATTTTTATTTTTTCATTAGTTAATTTTTATACAAGTCTCTACATTAATTGTAACTTTACTTTTGGATGCATTCTTATAATTTTTTTTTAAAGGATTTGTTTTTGAATTCTTAATTAATATTTCAAATTTAAATTATTACAAGTTTTTATTTAAGAATTTAAGAAAGAATAAATTATGTTTGTCAAGCGGAAATTTTATGAAAAAGACAAAAAAAAATGTAATAATTAAATAAAAAAATTTTAAAATTTTAAAATGATTTTTTTCTATCTAACCGCGAGTGTTGCGTAGATAATTTTGAAAAATTAATCTTCTCATCGGTATTAAATAAGATTTTTTTTCATTTGTTAATTTTTATAAAAATCTATTTATTAATTATAACTTTATTTTTTGGAATACAATATTATGAAAAATATATTTTTAAAGATATTTTTAATTCTTGATTAATATTTTAGTTAAAATTATTATAATTTTTTATTTTAAAATCAATCTATAAAGAAGAATGATTTATGTTTTTTTTTCAAGCGAAATTTTACGAAAAACATTAGAAAAAATTAATTAACTAAAAAATTATAATTATAAAATTTTAAAATGATTTTGTTCTACTAGATCTGCAAGTATAGCGCGAGCAACTAGCTAGATGAACCTAATAAATAAAAGAATATCATGAAATAAAAATAGGATAAAAAGCTTTAAGTTTTGGGCAAAGATTGCTAGAAACTTTCGGCCATGAGAGAGAGAGAGAGAGAGAGAGAGAGAGCGAGGACACTCCTATGTCAACCGATTACGTGATTAAACAAAAGCAAACACTTATGAAGCACGATAAATAAAAAATCTGCTTTTATCGTATAATAACTATCAATGGTTTACAATACATTTAAACTTAGAGGACCATAATTGAATGCAATTAAAGGACAACAAAATAATTAGAGAATACAATTTCCAAATATTTTGACTCGGAACCTTAGGCAGTGTCTTCAAGGAAAGGATAATCAGTGTAACCAACAACAGGATCATGTGTATAAAATGTTTCTCTGTCGTACTTGTTCAGAGGAGCATCAAGCTCAAATCTCCTTGGCAAATCTGGATTAGCTAAGAACAAGCGACCATAAGCGACAAGGTCTCCGCGGCTCTCTTCTACAGCTCTATTTCCATCTTCCCTGTCATAACCACCAGTAAGAATGAAAGTACCATTGAAAGCCTTTCTGATAGGCAGCAGACTTTCAGAGAATTTAGTACTTTCTGAGCCTATCTTCACTCTTGGCTCAAACATGTGGCAGTAAGCAATACCATATTTATTCAAGGAATTAGCCATGTAGAGCCCTAGTGCTTCTGGATTCGAGTCTCCTGATTCCAAAAAATTTATATGAGGAGATAGTCTTATTCCAACCTTATCTGCTCCGATCTCATTGACTATAGCCTCAACTATTTCCAAAGGAAATCGGCAGCGGTTCTCTAGTGATCCACCATATTGGTCAATTCTGTCGTTCACTTGATCTTTCATAAACTGGTCAATTAGGTATCCGTGAGCCCCATGGATCTCAACTCCATCAAAACCTATGGATGGTAGAAAAAACACAAGCTTAAAAGTGATGGTATGATGATTCATGAAACCCAATTTGCAGATGTTCTAACTGCATTTCTAATTCAAAAACTTTACATTTTTATTCTTGTTGGGTTGAAGTTAAACTTTCCAAAATGTTATGCAATCATCTATTGTTCAGCTTGCTATAATCATGAAAGAAAATTCAAAGTATCCAAAATCTTTGAGATAAAAAGTTTACCAGCTTCTATTGCGTTCCTTGCAGCAATTCTGAAATCGTTGACAATTTGAGGGATTTCAACTGTCCTCAAACGCCTTGGAGGTGTGAATTCCATGCCGTCAACTTGAGCAGATATAGGCTTGTCTGTAGAAGAGACTGGAGATTGTCCATTTGGCTGAAAACCTGACAATGCCAATAATGTAGAAAATTTATTAGGAACAGACCCACGTTAACCTTTAGATTTATTAAAAATGACTTTGTTATATGGAACTGACAAGAAAGTCTCGACCATGAATACAAATTCTCAGAAGGCCACAGAGCAGCATTAGTCATAATTATACATACTGGTAAGAGACCTTTTGTTATGCTACTGACCAAATAGAGCAGGATTCGCAGCTAATAAATTTGACAAAAAACAACGATATTGAACACACAGATTTTACGTGGAAAACCCTTAAACAAATTAAGAGAAAAAACCACGGATAAGATAGAAGAACTTTACTATAAAAAATAATAGGAGTTACGACCTCTCTATACTACAAGTAGAAAATAATAAATTTCTCTCTTGAAATAGGAAAAACACTCTCTATATTTTTCTAAGAACTAATCTCTCTCCCAATATTATTTTTTTTTCCACCTTTTTGGGGATACATAATGAACTAAGGTGGGGAGGCCTATTTATAGACCTCCCCCTTGCTTGCACCGCCTGAATTGAGGCGGTGCATGCAAGTTGTTGCAGCTTGCATATGCAAGTTGTGATTCCAATTTTATTTCAACACCTTTCACTAAGAACAAACTAAAATAAGGAAAACAAAAAGGAAACCATTTTGACAGGAACAAGACTGACTAAAATTTATGCATCAAGGACGCAATGACAAAGAAATTTCCTTTCAGCTCAAATTAAGGGAGAGTCATCCTTGACGAATTAAGGGAAGACGTGAAGAAAATTAAAGTCAATGACTCACCAGTATTTGAAACCCTTCCAACATGCCATATTTGACAGAAGAATATACCGCCTTTGGCATGGACAGCATCCACAATGGGTTTCCATGCCTCTACTTGCTCTTTGGTCCAAATACCAGGAGTATTTGGATACCTACATTCAAATGTAACAAAATCAAAAATTGAAATGCATTTGTTCAATTTCAGTAATTACAGCATAAGTAGCTAGCCAGCTATGTTGCGTGGTGCGATGACTAGGTACTTACCCTTGTGCTGTGTCAGAAACTCCAGTGGCTTCAGCTATGAGAAGACCTCCTTTTGTGGTTCTCTGGGAGTAATATAGAATGGCATG